CGTTCGCTGCCTGGAGAATGGATGTTATTGGACCAATCGAACCTGCCGCATCAAACGGGCACAGGTTTATCTTGGTAGCAATTGACTATTTTACCAAATGGGTTAAAGCAACATCTTATAGAGCAGTAACCAAGAAGGTCGTGGCAGACTTTGTCCGCGACCGCATTGTTTGTCGATTCGGGATTCCAGAGTCAATCATTACCGACAACGACTCTAACCTCAACAGTGACTTGATGAAAGCCATGAGTGGCACTTTCAAAATCAGACACAAGAATTCTACAGCCTACAAACCCTAGATGAATGGAGCAGTAGAAGCCGCCAATAAGAATATAAGGAAGATATTGAGGAAAATGATAGAGAAGCATAAACAGTGGCACGAGAAGTTATCATTTGCTCTTCTAGGGTACCGCACCACAGTCCACACATCAACTGGGGCAACCCCCTATATGCTGGTTTATGGTACAGAAGCAGTCATTCCCGCCGAGGTAGAAATTCCCTCCCTAAGGATCATACAGGAAGCTGAGCTCAACGATGCAAAGTGGGTGAAAAATTGTTATGAGCAGCTAGCCCTCATAGACGAAAAGAGTATGAATGCAGTTTGCCATGGTCAACTTTATCAGAACAGAATGTCCAGAGCCTTCAACAAAAGAGTCAAGCCAAGACAGTTCACACAGGGGCAGCTAGTGTTAAAGAAAATCTTTCCAAATCAAGATGAAGCCAAAGTCTCTCCCAACTGGAAGGGTCCATACATGGTTCACCAGGTTCTGACAGGAGCAACCCTCATACTTGTAGAAATGGACGGAGAAGTCTGGCCAAAGCCAATTACTTCAGATGCAGTCAAGCGTTACTATGTGTAATCTTTATTCTTTCCTATAAGATGTAATTTGAACTACGCCTAACCTGACTTCCGTTTAAGAGGGGATACATAGGTAGCCCTATGGGTTCGGTCACAATGCAATAAAAATTTTATTTTCCCCGCAATTGGAAACTAGGGCAGAATTTTGAGGAGGACCCTCAAAATTCCGAAGTAATTTCAGCCAATCGTCGCAAACAACAGTCAAAAGCATCAACTCAGTAAACTGGGGCAGAATTTTGAGGAGGACCCTCAAAATTCCGTAACAAGAAGGGTTGCAATGTCTTGAACCACGTCGCAATTGTTGGTTCATCAAAAGAAAACTATATTTAATTATGTTTTTATGTATGCCTTTACTAAATCATGCATGTTTATTACCAAAATTGCCTTGTTTGGCAACGCTACCCCAATGATACATGCAGTATCACCAGATCAAAGCCGAGTAGGTAAAGCAGAGCCAGTGAGAATATGAACTAACCTCCCCTCTTTACAAAACTCACGATTTTTCTTTAGATGCAGGCACTTGAGTTGCAAAATCATCGAATATGCTACACTCACGAGACTCACATTGCTTAGAAATACAACTCTCAGAACCGTGCACTTTCTCACAGCTGCTATCCGCACATAGTGTCCCCATCAGACACAATATCCCCAACAGTTGCAATATCGCAATCCGCTATCAGCTAAGAAAATTCTATTATCATTTTGCCCTCTTACTTCTTGCATAAGCNTCTAAAGAAAACTACTCTTAATTATGTATTTATTGTTACATTTTCTTTACTAAATCATGATGTTTATTGCCAAAATTGCCTTGTTTAGCAACGCTACCCCAATGATACATACAGTATCATCAGATCACAGTCGAGCAGGTCAGGCAGAGCCAGCGGGGATACGAACTAACCTCCCCCTTTTACAAAACTCACGATTTTTCTTTGGATGCAGGCACTTGAGTTGCAAAATCATCAAATATACTATACACTCACGAGACTCACATTACTCAGAAATACAACTCTTAGAACCGTTTCACTTAGTCACAGCTGCTATCCGCACGCAGTGTCCTCAGCAAACACAGTATCCCCAGCAGTCGCAATATCGCAATCCGCTATCACCTAAGAAAATTCTATTATCATTTGCCCTTTTACTTCTTGCATAAGCCTACCATTCTGCCTTCCGAGGTTAAGCTCTACCTCCATCTGCATGGCTGAAAGATCGCCACCTTATTTGCATGGCTAAAAGATCGCCACCTTTACATTTGCATGGCTGAAAGATCGCCACTTTTACATTTGCGTGGCTGAAAGATCGCCACCTTATTTGCATGGCTGAAAGATCGCCACCTTTATATTTGCATGGAAGAAAGATCGCCACCTTTACATTTGCATGGCTGAAAGATCGCCGCCCTATTTACATTTGCATGGCTGAAAGATTGCCACCTTTACACTTGCATGGCTGAAAGATCGCCACCCATTGCATCTCATCGGCTGAAAGATCACCACCTACTACATCTCATCGGCTGAAAGATCGCCAAATCATCCGAAGGCATCATTGTTCGGAGGCACCATCTTCATAGCCTGAGAACACCATATCATTGCCTGAAGACTCTTTTAATCTTTTGCATATCATTATTCAAAGGCATCATAGTTCAGAGACATCATTCGCATAGCCCGAAAGCATTATTTCATGGCCTACGAATCCTTTATTATACGCTTCATGGCCCAGGACATCATGGTCTGAGGACATCATCCTAACCGTCCAAAGACAACATTCATGGTCCGAAGGGAACTTGCATCATGTTTAAATTTACGCACAATATACGCTCGTATTGCTCATATGTAGGTAAACCGACGAGCAATGCCCATCTCAGCAGGAGCGATCCCGCTCCAGTTCCCGCAGCCCTGTTAGACTTTGACCATTCACCCCGTCCTCAATATCGCGTCCGTTTTTGAAAAGTCTCCATCAGTATACTCTGCCGCGGATCCTGAACTACATATGGCCCAATTCCTGTAAGACCAAGGATATGTAGGTAGCTAAGAAGCCAGAGTATGGCCTAAGTCTCCTCGAACCATTTTGTTCGGTCAAAATTGGCCATCATATCTTTACCCGCAACTCTTTCATCCTTCCCGGGTAAAGAGGGGCAGCTGTTGATACCCAATTTTTCCCTATGTATTTGTATATGCAAACTACCTTTCAAATAGCATATGTATGCATATATAAGTATGTCCAAGGGTTTTCTTATTTTTTATTAATTTTTAAAGTTTTTTAGATCAATTTATTGCCCTATTTTATCAAGAAAAACCCAATAATGATTCCCAAAATTGTCATTTTGGCAATTCACTTATTATATTCTCATATTTATACTAAAATATATCTAACATAATTTTTGCATAATTTTACAAATTTATTTAGTATTTTTAAAAGCTAAATTGCATATAATTGCAATATTAGCCTATTTTAAGATTTAATTGTGTTTATAATTATAAAATTGACTCCAGTATTTTTATTTTTATAATTATGTATTATTAATCATTTTAGTACCTTTAAATTATTTTACTATTTATTATAAAATAAATAAGGGAAAATGGCTATTTAAATGATAGCCCATTTGTATTTCAATTTTGGCCAGATTGGGCACCCCTAATTGAACCCAATTTTAGATCTCATTACTCGGCCCAAATCCTAAATTTACCCGACCCATGACCCTCTTAATAACCCGCCCGGATCCCCCTTTCAATCCCAGTCGTTGATCATTTAGATCAGCGGCTCATACTCACCCTTTCCTTTTTAATTTTCCAATACCTCCCGAACCCTAATCATTCCTCATCGGTAGCTACCCCCGGATTCCCCTTCTCCCAAATACTCTTTCAGAAACCCTAGCTGCCTCCCTCCACTTCCACCCTAAAACCACCGGAATCCATGGCTTCCAAGGCCATAGAAGTCCTATACCGGCCTCCTATAACTCCTACACGTTTGGTTACTGAATTTTCAAGGCCTGACTAAGAAGAAGCTTGGCCCAGAGCTTGTTTGATTCGAGTTCTATGGCCACCTCCGCCCTTGCTCCGGCAAGCCATGGCTATTCGAGCCTAATCTCGACTTCTCCTGCTCAGATCAACGATTCTCCAAGCCTTTCTCACCATCTGGTTTCTTCTGAAACCCTAACTTTTGAGGTTCTTCTGATTTATTTAGATCTATTCTAGATCCGTGTTTTCCCTAAACTTTTAAACGGTTTCTCGAGATTTCTTTCAACAAACTATGCTTTCAAAACCTTTATCTTTCCGATTTAGGGTTTTTGTTAAGTTATTTAAATGCTTCTCTGATTTTCTTTTTCTTTTGTGTGTTTCTTCTACTATGTTTCTTATTAGTTTCTTCCATTGTGATTTTTATGTGTCTCTCCTAGTGTGTTCTTACGAGTTTTTCTACTGTGTCTTCCTATGTGTTTCTTCTACTGTGTCTTCCTATGTGTTTCTTCTACTATGTTCTTATGAGTTCTACTGTATTTCGCATATTGTTCTATTACTATGTTTTTCATGAGTTTCTTCTACTGAAAGATGCATATTAAAGGTCTCACACTATAACAAAAAAGGCTTTTAGCGGCAATTAAAATACTTTTTAGCGGCAATAGAAATGGCCGCAAAATCATTTTCCGGCAATTAGTTTTTGGCCGTGGTATCGGACGTCGACAAAGCTATTGGTGGCCATTAGACCAAGTGCTGGTAAAGACCTCTTTATGGCCAATAAAAGTCCTTAAGTTTTAGTGGCATTTATTTTCCGGCAATTGCAATGGCCACTAAAATCCCTCTGGCATTTCATAGGTCAAATATCCTGCAACCTTTAGTATTTCCGCTAAAAACTAATTTAATGACCGATAAAAGGCACCTCTTTTGGCAGCAAATACAATGGCCGCTAAAGCGATTTTAGAATTCAGGTTTTTTCATCTATTAATGACTTTTGTTATGGATGGTAAAATCTGATTGTTATAAAAGAGGATATTTAGTGACTTTTGTATTTTGCTGCTAAACATTATAGAAAGAACTATCCCAACATTTGCAATGCATGTTGTACCTATTTACATTCTACAATAATAATATTAATTCACTTCAAACAACTCAATGCACTATATTAAATCCATAATTTGAGAGTGCAAACAACATAAAAAATGCTAAATTATTTGAATCCAATAATATTTCACGTCTAATTAATTATTTTATTAAGTAGCTATAAGCTCGATAATAAGTTACATCGGACAGATTCTCCCAAATCTTGATTATATGAACTTCCACGTGCTATATCTCTGAACATCACAATATATGACTTAAAATGATAAAACAAAATAATTATAATATAAATGACATATAAAGTTCATCAATAGTCAAGAAAAATAACTACTTGACCTTTACATATACTGGCGGCATATCATGGAATTGCTACTACAAAATTTAATCAAATTAAGTGTACAAGACATGCATTTCTTTTTTTTGCTAACCATTACAATATAACAAACCTCAAAAAGATTTATAGAGTTCGAAGAAAGTCAAATACCAGTTCAAACAAAATATATTGTGTTACACTTAACAAATTGCATTTTCTTTTGTCTTTAGCAAATCCTAGATCTTTGAAACACTGTAATGCCTATTTTTCCCAATAAAACTCTTACGGTAACAGATAAATTTATATGCCTATGACACTTCAGGATATAAATGAGACGGAAATTTCATTATTCATGATTCTACAAGTAACATCAAGTAGACAACATCATTGTTTAAACTCATTTAAGTAGTTGGATTTTTAAGTCCACACAGTTATGTTTTAGCATAGAGATTACTTTATGTAATTTAGTGCAACGGTAGACATATTTTTAGCAAATTACAACTCCTAAACTTTCAGCTTTTTGCTCTTTTCAAAAAATAAATGAAACTTCAAGAAAACACCTTTCAACCCCATGTCTAATCTTACTTAATTCAAATTCCTCATCTGCTAATAACATATCAGCAATATAGCCCATCTTTCAGCATAACAAAGTAATAATCTATCTATATATATATATATATATATATATATAAGTAACTCAATAACTTCTGATATTGAAAACTATAAAGGAAAATAATCTCTCTTTTAATCTAATATTTCAGCACTCATCCACATTCAGTGGGTATTCCATTCTCTTCCCTAAAGAGAAGATAAGATATTCAGAAAAGAATACAATCACAGTCTAATAAAATTATCCACAACGAAAATGAAGTTGACGAAGTTGACAGATAGACTGTAGACAACATATATCACTTGAACCAAATAGAGATATTAGTTAAAAAACTGAACAGTTAATGAGTTAACAATGAAATTAGACTAAATAAGAGATACTAACCTAGCTTTGTTCGAACAAGTATAATTGGTACTCCAGGAACATAATGTCTCAATTTAGGAATCCGCTAAAAAATAATAACAAGAGCAAAAAATAAGGTATTCCTTGAGAGAAATTATAAAATATCACGAACCATAGAATCGTTTCATTTTTCTCTTTAACAGACAACCTTTACCTGTTCATTTCTAGTAAACATACGAAATCCTAAAATGTCGGAGTAGAGTACTAGTATTTTTAGTATATTCACCAGTCGTCTTCACCAAATAACTAAAGTGAAAACTAAAACAAGCCAAGGTTTTCATGAACTTACTTCAAGTAACAAGGACTGGTATTACAACTAGCGTACACATTTCTCCGCTGTATTATAAAAAAACAAATAAAAGTACTATAAAGAAACTTGAAATTAAGAAGGAAGTCTACCTTTTTTGGAGACATTTTTATAATTGGGCTTGCTAGCGAGAAATTTTTCTGTCTGAAATTCCAGATACATCTGCCCATGATAGCTCAAGCCTCAAGGGTCTCATTTTATTGTAATCTTCCTTCCTTGTTCAATCAAATAGTAGAGGTAGTCAATAATATCACAACGATATTAAACCAACAACATTAACTAATGTCCTGGATAAAAAGTATACCAGCAGTATCCCGCAGACTCAGATTAATAGTGCTACCACCGGCAATCACATTTGCTCTAAAATGTCAAATACAATTGGGACTTAATCCTGAACGCAAGATAACAGAGAATTGAAAATATGATACATCGGAAAGATTTTGCTGGATCAATTCACGCACCATATATATATATATATATATATATATATATATATATATATATATATATATATAACTTTCCTAATCATCAATTAAGCTAACTCTTTAAGACTTCAATTAGGGAACAACCAAGCATCTAAATTAAAAACTAAACTATTCAAGTTCAGAAGCAAAGACAAGCTCTTCAATAATAAGCCTTCATCTTTATAATAGAATATCCACATATTCAATCACAAGTTCCTATATTTGAAGCGTTCTTCTCTATTCTTTTACAGAAGTTATCACCAATACAAAAGAATTCTACGGACAAATAATTTAACCAAACAACTTCAAGAAGAAGTTCACTAATCTAAACATTGCCAAAGACTATTTTCAATATGGAATCCCTTCCCCTCGTAATATCAAATGCATAAACGATATTATACACACACATACACACCAAAAAAGAACCTACTGCTATTGCTAATCAAAAGGAGCTTGATGAGGTAATCTGTAGTCGTGATGGGCTAGAGCAGGTGGAGCGGCCATTTGATTTTCTCAAAAAAAGATGAAGGGAACTACTCCAACCCTAGATATAAGAAAATCACCTTAGCAACTGCGAGAATGTGAGGAAAACTGATCAAATTAGAATAAAATTAACTGAAATTCATATGTATGAATATATGTACAAGGATTTATGCATACATACACCCTTATATCAGATCAGAGAACAGTAAATGAAGAAAGAGAAAAATGAATATATGTTTGAGATCTACTAAATAAATGGGTGAGATAACGAGAGAGTAGAAAGAGATAGTTGTGTTACCTGGAATTGGTGGCCAGCGATGAGATAAAAATCAGTTGTAGTGGCGGTAATGGTTTCAACAGCGGCGAGATAGGTCGAGTCTTTGTGAAGTATTCCCAAATTTTTCAAATTTTATTTTTTTATTTTGTGAAATTGGAGGGAATATTAGGTGATGTGAAAAAAGTGAGGGAAAGATAAAATACTAAAATTTCTTTTGAATTAGTTGCTTTTAGTGGCCAGTCATTTTTTTTGCCGGTACAAGAGTATCTTTTCCTCACCAATATCTATTTACCGGTAATCTTTCTCATAAATAAATGAATTAGCGGCCATTAAGCTATTGCCACAAAATAATTGCCGCTAAATACTTATTTTGTTGTAGTGTCAGTTCCTTTCTGAAATCTCTGAATTTGTTTGATTTCAAAAGAAAAAAAAGCCCTAACTTCTTTGAACCTATTTCGAGTTTCTGAAGTTATCTCATCTACTACTCGATTAGGCTTCCAAAGCTTTGTTTCGACCTTTGTTTCTTTATATGGTTCTGATTCCCTGTTAAACTCTTCTAAGGTTTATACTGGACCCTTTGTATGCTATTTGATACTCTCTCTCTTCTACATTGCTGAGTTACTGAGACTGACCTATGTGACTACCATGTTCCTATAGTCTACTACTTACTGATTTTGCAATTGCATGACATTTTTCTTTGTCCTAAACCCAGCCTCGCATACTTGTGTGCT